GGTGGCGTCCCGAGTTATATCACTTCGAGTGCACAGATCAAGATCACATTGGGATGGCGAGTTGTGTATGTCATGGATGTTTGGGTAACGAACATTGGAATAGGAGTGGATGTGCTTCACGTTCAGTGCTGGAGTGCGCCTAGGTATTCGTGAAGGAATGGTAGGTCTCCCGGATGAATAATCTATTTTGATGTACGGGTATACCATACGAAGACGTGAATACCGGGATATCCCAGTCTGCCCCCTTCGAGGATTGCATCTGCGACCCGGAGAACAATGCAAATGTGGCCTTCCGATATGGACAGTGTCGCCCGCGCCAAGATGTTGTATGGGCAGGACGAGGGGACCAATGGGTCGCCCAGATTGTTTACGGCGCACGATCGTGGGCTGTAGCGAGAAAAATGGTCAACGTGTGCTTCACGTTCAGTGCTGGAGTGCGCCTAGGTATTCGTGAAGGAATGGTAGGTCTCCCGGATGAATAATCTATTTTGATGTACGGGTATACCATACGAAGACGTGAATACCGGGATATCCCAGTCTGCCCCCTTCGAGGATTGCATCTGCGACCCGGAGAACATGCAAATGTGGCCATCCGATATGGACAGTGTCGCCCGCGCCAAGATGTTGTATGGGCAGGACGACGGGACCAATGGGTCCCCAGATTGTTTACGGCGCACGATCGTGGGCTGTAGCGATAAAAGTGGTCAACATTTCGGACCGATATTGCTGGATCGAGCCTAGGACACCTGTTGCTCGGATTGCGGAATATGGGAATATCCTATAGTTGGACAGTTCGTGCGCCCTGGGTTACGAAGGTATATGGAATGGCAACCGATTATTCAGGAGAACACATTGTCCGCGAAGTCCAGGGTGCGCCAGGGAGCATACGAACAGATGCATCGGGATGCTGCTCCGCCTGCAGTTATGGCTCATCAATACAAGTTGTCAACGAAGTAACTGGTGAGACCAAAAGAACCCGAGCAAGCCCAGGTCACGAAGATTGCGGAAGAGTTACAACCGCAGAAAAACGTCGACTTTGCGGAGTCAGCTGATGATGCTACACTTGGGACGTACTCCCCGAGTGTGATTGGTTCACTCATGGCCGTTGAAGTTTCACCTGAAGTTGTCACCCTGGATGTCAACGCGCAGGGTAGCGGAGATGTTTCCAATTCTGGATTTTGTGGTGAAGTCTTTGATGAAATAGCTCAGGAATCTGAATGCGACGCATTCCATGATGGCCCACGCATGGAAGACGAGAATTTCAAGTTACCTTCTTCTGCCATGCCTGGAACACCGCTCGCAAGACTTGATGCAGCATATGCCAGGTGTATGCGAGTGAGCGCTAAAGAACTCGCTTTAGAACCAGCAGTTTATATTCGCGAAGGGAGTGAGCTTATGTAGATCAGTTTGTTATGCTACCTGACATGGGTGATCTCTCTCCTGGATGTGATATTGAGGCCGATGACGTTGGAGAACCTGACGAGAGTACGGAAGCTCAGGAAAAGCAGCTGAAGGCCGCCCTGAAAAGACATCAGAAGATCTTCTTAGGTGATGGAAATGCTGCCCCGTCGCCGGCGAGAGGTGTCATCTGCGATCTAGATGTGGATGACGCCAAGCCAGTGGCACAACGACCCCGATCGGTCGGTCCGCACTTGGCAATCAAGGTGTATAAGTTATTGAAGAAGCTTTTGAATGCAACATTGATTGAACACTCGGAATCGCCATGGGTATCCCCAATTGTGATCGTGCTCAAGAAAAACGGAGTGGATATTCGAATGTGTATCGGCTGTCGGGTCGTGAATAGCTTCATTCAATTATCGAATTACCCACTGCCGCTGATCGATGACCTCATTACTGGTTTCGAAGGAATGATGTGGTTCATGAATCTTGATATGGATGAATATACACGTCTTTCCGACAGATACAGCTAAATGATTGTTTTACAGCTGCATAATAGGGTATTTCAGCCTATCATCATGTTCCTTTCAGCCATTTCAACCAATTACATCTATTAGGGGTAGGTTTACGGTTCCGACATTTTCCGACAAATATCTGTCGGAAGGCTGGCCAAAATATGTATGTGCCAATACGAAAAACAAGTATAGCAAATAACTTTATAATATTTTTGCTATTCCGACAACTAGGACACAGTCCTCAACTAGGACATAGCTTTTTGGTTGGTTCATTTTGAAGAATTCCTCAGTGCGCAAGACTCCTAAAGTCACGTTTGAGAGCCACAAGTCTGCTGACGCCTATGACGTGTGCACGCCAGGATTGGACTATCTTGAGGAGGAACACGCGACTATGGGTGCGTGTTCTGTGCGCGTATGAGAGGCAGTGGCTTCGGCGAGTGCGTTGTGGCGCTTACCCAACAACACCACACGCAGAAATCCATGGATACGCTGGTCGCAGGCTACCCGGCAAACAAGTTCTGCTCGACACTGCCAAACCCGAGTCTTGACTCGCATCGGCGACGAAGCACAAGTGGTGCAGGTTGGCGTGCTCTCATTGATCTTCGCTCGTACGAAAATGATGCACTCAATAACACATCTAGCCATTTCCATACTTCTGCTATTGACATTTTGACAACTTACGTTTTGACCGCTACTGTCACACCTTGCTAAATATTGTGTACTTCAAGTACGTAGTAGTAGTTCAGTACAAGGTACTACTACGTAGAATGAAAAACCACAGTAGTTTTACCTACTAGATACCAATATACCTAGATGTCGGAAGTGTCGGAACCGTTGCGATATGGCGAGTGGCTTCTGGGCAGTCCGAATGACCGAGAGGGCTAAGCTGATCTCAGCTTTCACTTGCCCATTTGGGCATTTTTAATGGGTATGTATGCCATTCGGGTTGAAAAACGCCCTGCTAATATACCAGCAGATGATCAATAATTGGCTGTGGGGATTCGTGCGGCTATCACCCGAAGAGGAAGCACTTGTGGATCAGGATGTGCTGGACTACCTGAAGTTTGGCCCTCAGTCGCCAAGTGATGAAATGGATGTGGAACGCAGTACGACACCGCTAGTGGGGCAAATGACGGTTTTCAGGCGCAATATCCCCGCACCATCCCAAATGGGGCCCGTGTTCGGACGCAGTTCGTATATCGGTAACATCGCGCATGGGGCGGCCACGTGGGATCAACTATGCGGTGATCTAGATGCGTTGCTCTATCAGCTACAATACTGGAGTATCTCCGTTAGCTTGCTCAAGAGTGAATTCGGGAAGCGTGGCATACCGTACCTCTCTCGCGAGATTGGTGCGGAAGGGATACGTGCTACCCCGAAAATCGTAAAAGGCATTCAGGAGCTACCATTCCCGGCCACCCTGAAAGGAGTCCAGTCATTCCTAGGCAGCCTGAATTACTACAACAAATTTATCGAAGATTATGCCGTGGTAGCGGAGTCACTCTATGAGTTGACCGATGATCAGGTGCGCGCAGGACGAGACTTGTCTCGAGCGAAGGAAGCTTTTGAGATTCTGAAAAGGAAGATTGTGTCTACTCCTTTGTTCAGACACTCGGATCGAACAAAACCATTCGTGATTATCCCTCATGCGAATCAGTGGGCTGCCTGTGCAGTTCTCGGACAGATACATGACGGACTTGTTCAACCTGTTCAATTTACGGGGCGCGTCCTGAACGGCGCCGAGCTCAAGTATCATATTGCTAAGAAGGAAGTTCTGGCTGTGATGCGGTTATCCATGTATTCAAGAACCTGATCGAAGGATACCCTCTCATAATGTACACCCGACATTCAGTGTTGAAGTGGGTCATTAATTCCAAGACTACCAGAGGCCGTCTAGTGTCATGGGACGTTGCCCTCTCACAGTATGACCTGGAAATTCGGAAGGTTTGTCAAGACGAGGATGGGATTAGCCGCCATTATGGGTGCAGACATTACTCCCAGGGAGCACTTGGACGAAGTTGCCGAAGTACTCATTCCAGCCAAGGGGTGCGTGAAACCGCCTCCAGTCGTGAGTGTCGAAACGCTCTCAGAAGAGTACTCCGGTGGAGTCCTGAGTTTCGATGGTGCGGCCAAAACCTCCACGAGGGAGGGCGGCTGTGGATGCATTCTGTGGCAGCTACCCGAATGGAAGGTTTTGGATGCTCGAGGATACATCCTGGATGGAGTTACCGTCAACGACGCAGAGTACTTTGGACTGCTCGGGCTTGCAATGGTTTTGGAAAGAGGGATTCAGGACATAGTCGTTGTGGGTGATTCAAGAATTGTGATTCAACAAGTCCAAGCCCTGATTAGTTGTAACCAGCCTAATTTCCAAAGGAGGCTAGCTGAATGTGAAACGCTGAAGAAGCGTTTCCGGACGGTCTGATTGGTACCCATGAAGCGCGAGTTCAACCATGCTGCCGATTACTTGACATCGAAGGCTCTTGTCCAAGGTGAATCCTGGACTGTTCAGGACGACCTCGAGAAACGACACCTGGAAGTAGTGTTTAAGATCTGCGAGCAGTTAGTGAAGCCGTCGGAAGGCACTGACACTCGAACTCGCAGTAGAGAACCCATCGATGACTCTAGTGAAGAAGATGTCAATTCAGGAACGTGACATGGTTCTGGCCCTGAGTGTGCTGAGTGTGCACCTCTATCTTCTGCCGCCCGGGTCATGGCGGTACTCACGAGATCGTGAGCTTCTTGAGGTTCCACCCATGGTACCACAAAAATTCCAGGCAGAACGCTGGAGGCGAATCAAGGTTCATCAAGAGGATGATGAGTATCTAGCAGAGCTCAGGGCATTCCTGAATGACGACCTAGACAGATTCTCACCCACACGTCTGAAGAAGATCAGTAAGGTCGCAGATCTGTTCGTTCTGGATGACCGAGGAATATTGTATAGACTCCCACATTCTGTTCGCGGAAGACCACGAGACGCCGTGGATAATCTGAGACTAGTAGTCCCGAGTTCACTTTGGGAAGACATGTTGCACCATGCGCATGAAGATTTTCAAGGTGGACATCAAAGGATCACCCGGACGCACGAGAAGCTACGTACCGAATTCTACTGACCCGGCATGTACGCGGACGTCCAACATTTTGTGAAGGAATGTGTGGACTGTTCCAGTGGAAAAGGAGTTCCCCCGAATGCTGGACCTTCGCCAGAAAATATTGAGCCACGGTACCCATTTGAGGCGGCTTCTACGGATTTCGTGACTCACATGCCTGAGTCAGCCAG